CCCCCCCCTCCCAACAGAGCGACGGTTTGCCATTGGATGAAACCCGGTCAGATGCATTCTTGGTCGTTTGCGCTGCACGTGGTGTCTCTTTCAAGCTCTCGCTGAAGGTCCTGATCTCTCCAGATCACGCGGGTGGGTGACAGAAGTTGGCGTCGCTGCGGCGTACGCATGAAGGCAGGGATTTTCTCGTGCACACGCCAGTGCGGAGCCGCTCTGCGCTTTTTCACCAAACGTTTCTCGCGAGCAAAGTTTCTTCGCATCATACAATATCACGCTCCGGCGCCGAAGACAAAGGACGGAAACACAACCTAGAAGCGCAAGTCAAGCGGTATAGAAACTCCGCGCGCACCGCCTACCGTGCCTCGCGCTCGCAGGTGTTTCTCCTGAAGAGCTACTCTTCCGCCAGCGCTGGCGGCAAGGACGGCGGCGAAACCACGGGCGCATCGGAGGAGGACAGGCGGGCTTTGGACACCTGCCGTAACCTGCTGACGCGAAGGGGGCTAGAGTCGACCGGGGCGATCCCGTGCGCCAGCCCAGAGTGCGGCAACTGGATGGTGCCGGAGGGGGGCGGGCAACGCGTCAAGTGCGCGTCCTGCTTGGTCGAGTTCTGCAGCAGGTGAGAACCAACCAAGACGACTTTTGTGTTAACGTGGCGGCGCGTTGACCTGTTTCTCTTTGTTGTGCCATATTAACAACAAATCAGTATTTGTTTCTTGCGGGAATACCGCAGCAGCATCAAACGATCTCCTCCCCCACCACGCCCTCGAACGATGTGATAGGATAGTCGGAGTTTTGGAGAAGGAAAGTAGGATACGTAAGGGCCAGGCAGGTTTCCGAAAGAAGAGGGGGTGCGTAGACCACGCGTTCACGGTAGGGAGAACAATCAAAGGTAGAAAGAGAGCGGGGAAGCGAACGTACTGCTTCTTCTTGGACGTGAAAAGGCACAAGATACGGTATAGAGAAACGGGCTGTGGAAACAATTGTCCAAGTATGGGATACTTGGGAGAATGTGGAGAGTGCTAAAGAAGATGACAAAGTGTTCGAAAAGTGCTGTCATGCTAGACGGAGAGGTGTCTGAGTTCTTCAACAATGAACAGGGGGTCCCACAAGGCTGCGCTTTGTCCCCAACGTTGTTCCACGTGTTCATCAACGACCTGTTGGAAGTCGTAGAGGCCGTCCGGAAGGGAGTAAAAGTAGGCGACACGGAAACGTCGGTGTCGGGAATGTTGTTAACGGATGATTATGGGCATGTCGGACACCCTTGAGGGACTTCAACTGCAGATTGATGTAGCGAAGGATTTGCTGACGAGTGGAGATTGTCTGCCAACGTTAAAAGGAGTGCCGTCGTGATACGCAACGAGGACAGGGAGAAACCGGTGGAGTATAGATGGAAGTGGGAAGCCTAAGAGCGAGTACTTACATGGACCGATGGATGCAAGGGCACAGCTGAAGGTCAAATTCAGGACCAGGGACATTGGCCTTCGAGAACTTAGACGAAGATTTGTGACGTAGACAATTGTTGTTGTTGTTGTTGACTTCACATTAAACCGTATGCCAGTTGCTAAATGCCAAAATCTAGCAAAGACTCTCAGCCCGTGGTCACGAAAGTGCTAGAACCATCTGAGGATCTAAAGAACACGCACACGTAGCAAGAAAAAGGTATCCAAGAGCCCGAAGAGGTACTACTACACCTATATATAATCCCTGCAGCACCGTACGCGTGCCCAAAACTGAACTACACGTCCGTCTCACCGTTCGACTACAGCAACATCACCCCCTACCTGTCCCACTCTGTACCAAAACGAATGATTGCCGACTACAGCATACTTGCTGTCTGAAGTGCTGTCTGTACAAAAACACCATGGTAGGCATGGAACAAGAAGCTGGCGGGGCACAAAGCTGCTGTCTGAAGTGCTGTCAGAATGTGTCTGCGGACGTACAGTGAAAAAGAACAACCAACCAAAGCCATGATTGCAATGGACAATCACCCGAACCTCTCCCGATCGTCTGCGTTAGGCACGCAGTGAAAATATCGACAATAGCTAAGAATCGTTCCACATTGAAGGGGTCTTCCACGATCAGGCACATAACCAAGGCACCCGGGTTAGCCACGCCATCTCTGACGGGTCTCTCTACAAAACCAGTGACGACGTCATCACATAGAACCAACACCGAAAATCAGGAAAAAAACGAGAAAAATTGACAACACAGATCAGATATAAATGTTTGTCCGTGCGCCACGGGTCGATGTCGCCCGCATGCTCCGGTGCCGCTGCTCCGTCCGGCGCCGCTGTAGTCAGCCCGAGCATAACGCCACTCGACCTGCTCCGTCCGTACACGCTCCCGTTGCTGTCCTTCCCAGTCGGTTCCTCGCTTTCTCCCTCGTTGCACTCAAGGTTCTTGGTCTGAAAAATAAAAATTCTCGCGCCGAAGGGGTCAACCAGCCCAGTTCAGCTCGTCGCCACCTGCTCCCTCCTCCTTTGATGGCGAAGCCAGGTTACTGAGGCAATGCAGCGCCCTCTAGCCAACCTAGGGCCGTGTACATAGTTCCCGTCCACCTTCTGACGGTGTCTGCCTCCGCGCACAAAAAATGAGATGGGCATCGCTGCCTACGCCGACGGCCAGAGGCCCGCGCATCTACATTTTTTCGCCTGACCCCATCAGTGCCGACCCAACTACACCACCACGCGCATGCCTCGCGGCGGATATGCGCAGCAGCAAGAAGGTTTCGGTCATCCCTTGAGGGTGAGTCTAGCCCTGCTCGCCAGAAAGACCCCCCCCTTCACTACAACCCATGTCTAAGCAAAAGCTTGTCGAGGAGCGAGGGGAAGAAGGGATGAACACGACAAATTCAGATGTGATTGCCACTCCGAATGCGAAGACCGGGTTCACGTAGTTACGGAATGCCCGTTGTATTTATGCAGGAAGGAGAGGAAACGCGTACATGACTGAGCTGGGACAAGTATAAGAATGATACAGGGAGCTGCTTGCGGCATGGAATAACGAGAAGACGGGAGCTGTAATTGAGCATAGGAAGTAGGTTGAAAAGGCGGTAGTGATATCGATAGAATAGACTAGGGAAGCCATTTTTGAGCCACCGTTGGCAAAGTAGAAAGGAATGATCTGGCCACCGGTGATCGGTCTTGTCGGAACAATGTTTCGTCCTCTCGAGGACGCGTGGCCAATGGCGTATCCGCTAGGGCATGCAAAACACAAGAGTACGTCCCTCCCCCACGCCCTCACAGCGCTTCACGATCACCTAGCCATGTCCGGGGAAACCCGGCTTGCTCCGTCTCGGCTTTGTAGGGATGCGAGAGGTCAATGGTCTAACGACTACGGCATGCACGGCTATGAGTACCCCCCCCCGCCCCCTTTGATCGATCGGTGTTTGCCATCGGGGTTGGGTTTTCGTCGCTTGGCAACGACGTTGTAAAACAAGCCC